CCTGTATAACTTTGCATTCTTTTCGAGTAAGAAAGCCTTGTTCTTTTCAAGGCGTGAAAATAGATCACGTTCCGTGACACTAGCCGAGTGCCGCCATCTTGGTACCTCATCTCCGTTGCCATAGACATTTCATTCCCCTCACCCTTTGCGTACCACCCCCGCGGCAGTGCGCCCCGTCCAGGTGTTGCTACGTCCACGGTAAATGCAGACATGAGGAACAGGGGAGATCCAAAACAATCTACGCCGAATCTTCGAGAGCGACAGTACTTAATGAACAATATAATCCGAATATAATGTCTACGTATCGTCTGATTTCGTGGGTAAGAAAATCATAGATGAAATATTCAAGCTTGTCATTCGTCATCTGACAAGAATGTGCAATGTATGTGTGTACGCTAGGAATCACTGATGCCCTTTCCCATATGAATTTCAGGAATATGCAGAGCACATGTATGTATATGCAAAATGCATAAATATGTTGATATGCGCACAAATTCATGTGGGAAAGGCATCAGCGATTCCTAGTGTACATACATGTGCACGCTCGTGTGCATCGTTAGATTGGATCTACCGAATATACCAAATTTGCACCGCCAAACCCTCGGATCGGATGGCGTAGCCTTTAAATTTAATGCTCTGAGATAATTATAGAAGAATCATTCTCGATGAATACCCGAAATACCGAGGTACCCAGGTAGCCAGTGTGCCCAAACGATGTATGGAAATGAAAAGCCAGCAGCTGATCTAGCATCAGCTCTTTGCTAGGAATATAAATTCAATGTTTAAGTGGACGATACCTGAGGGATTACATCTCGCGAATCTACGGCCAACTTGAAAATACTTTGAAAAGTGACTAACATATGTGTATTGCAGGGTGCAAATTCCCACGGTCAATTGGGACAAGGTTTGTTATCCGAGCAATTCGTTCTACCTCAAGAAGTTGATCTATCCGGATGTACCCTGAGGCCAGAAGCCATAAGGAAGATTGCCGGTGGTGCCGGGCATACGTTGATCCTGGATGCAAACGGCCGTGTTTATTCCTGTGGATTGAACAACAAGGGACAAGCTGGAGGCACCGACGCCGAGCGGAGAAACGTTTTAACGTTGCAAAAGATATCTGCCCTCGAGCACGAAGTGGTGACTGATGTCTGCTGTGGATGGGACAGTTCCGCGGCGTTGACGAGAAACGGCGAGCTGTATGTATGGGGTTCCAATCGCTACAAGCAACTGGGTCTGGATCCTGATGTTTCTCCCTCGATGCCGCATCCCCAGAAAATTTCCATCGGCGAAAGAATAAAGAACGTTTCGATGGGTCTACGACACACCGCCATAGTGACGGAAAACTGCCAGCTCTATGTTTGTGGCTCGAATAACAGGGGGCAATTAGGTTTAATTAATCCAGAAACTATGGAGCCTTACAGTCTTCTTGGTAGATTCACCAGAGGTATTTAGTTGTTTTAGAAAATTGCTGTCCTGTAAAAGTTAGCGAGTTAAAGAATTCTAAAACGAATTCGTAAGAACGTCGAATTTACTCGAATGTATCTATTCAAAATCTTTTAACATATTTTTAACTTTTTTTTTTCGTATCTATTACTCTTACGCATTTATATACTTGTTTACTTTGTCGCGTGTAATTTAAATGGCTATTCTGTTAAAGATACACAAAAATGTGCTGTATGGTAAGAAAATGAAAATGTTTTTACTTAATTAAAACGCAGGTGAACAGTTGCAGACTGGACGATGCAGGGAAACGTGGAGAATGTTGCCTGCGGTCAGTACCATACTGTCGTCGTAACGAAACGGCGTATGTACAATGCGTACGTCTTTGGTGACAACAAGCACGGACAGTTGGGATTTTTTCCTAAGACATCGTCTGAAACACGAATATTGCAACCCATGTGCGTTCCACTCTCTGGCGTACAACACGATGCACCGATTCAAATTCATACAGGCTGGAGTCATGTAAATCTTTTGAGCAGTAAGTAAAATTAATTTACTTTATGTTTTTGCCACTACATATATCTATGTATTAAAACATTATATATATGTGATTTCAGACGGTATTGTTTTCTCGTGGGGAAGAAATGATTACGGCCAATTGGGCCGTTCTGCATCGAAATTACAAAATGGAATTTCTACAGAAGAGAAACTTGAATGTATTGATATCCCGAACATCGTTCAACTTTCAATTGGATCAGAGCATAATGTTGCCTTAACCGGTAAATTATTAAATGCGACAAATATTTTAACAGATGTGTAAACGCATTTACCAAAAAAGACAAAAGGCGCGTCAAGTATTTACAACTTGTGCCCAATTTTACAGATAATGGAGCAGTGTTGTGCTGGGGCTGGAACGAGCATGGAAATTGTGGTAACGGAAAGACTGAGAACGTTCTGCGGCCGGAGTCTCTTCCGATTTCATCTAATTCCATTGCTGTTCTCGTTGGTGCTGGCGCAGGACATTCATTCGCTGTGATAAAAGGCACTAGCTAGCTAGCTAACTTGTTAATTACAAATTTGTTATTTATTAAATTGTAATCGTGTACCAATGAAGTATTTTTATGAATATAAATGACGTTGCCTGTCAATTTCTTATTGCAGTACTATAGGACAAAGGTAGAACCAGGTAAAATCAATAATACAGAATTAAATTTCGTGTTTGCGTCCCAGACTTTTCGTGAATTAAACGCAATAATTTAATTGTAAGTTTTATTTCTCTAATATTAGAAGATTATGTACAGATGCACAAAAGTTACAGCGCTATGCTCAATCTAAATTTGTGAAGAAAATATAAAATGATTGTATTACAGCCGCGGGGCAGAGCGTAAGGACGCTTGCAACAAATAAATCGAATCAAACCTGAGTCACCCCCTCCGTAAATCGGTCGTAATCAACCCCCTTACGTAGTTAGTTCGAAGGGAGTATAGAAAATGCACGTAACTTCACCTGCGCCGGCTATGCGACCACTCGCACCACCTGCCAGTAGGCAACTGTCAGCGACAGCGTGCAGGAAAGAGAACGACTGAAATTGTTTCTTGCCTCGCTAGATGTTACCACAGCCGTGTAATTGCTAGTGCGAAACGCAGTTCGTCGAATATTGTTCTTAAAACGGGACATTTTTTGAGGGAACGAGAGATGCTTCGCGCGCGCTCTCAAAGTAGCTTGTAGTAAGTTAAGCAAAGTCGTAAGCGTACGATTTCATTTTTAATTTTGCACCGCACGTCTGACAGATCGGTGAAACCTTAGAAATAAATGAAACTAAGTATTTTTCGTTTCGTTAGCGAACAGGAGGCGAAGTTCGTACAGGATCGCATAACGGGCGTAGAGAAACACTTCGCCGAGCTGTGCACGATATTCGCGGCGTTCACCAGAAAAGCTGCCAGGTGCTTCCCTCCACTGTGACCGATAAGCCGTATCGATTATTTTTCCTTCGCGACACATTCTTATTCCCCGTTGACGACGACGTGCCCAGTTCCGTTCGCTGTTCACTAGCTCATCCCTTTTCAGATTACGTGATAAGAGCGACGAGTTGGCAAAAACAATACAAACTTATGCAGATTCGGAAATCATAAATCGATCGCTAAGCAACGGACTCGCAAATTTTTCCGCAACATTATCGGTCATCGGTGATTATAGGTAAAACTGGCTTTCTGTTTCACGCAATTAGACTTTCTTCGTAATATTTATAAAAAAAAAGACAGAATTTGAATTTATTTTTTATTGTCGCCCTCGTCATTCGCATCGAAATTAAAGAAAAATGTTTATCATTTTTCTATATCAAACAATTGTGGCTCTTTGTTCCTCACGAAATGCATAAGTATATTAGAAGTCTCTTCGAAGTTTCTCAGAAGTTAATATCTTTATATTGTCGTTCTTTTCAATTGCATTGTATATCTTATTTGAACATTATTTTAAGTCATATTTCCATTTTTTTTTTTTTTTAATTAATGATCTGCCTTACAGAGATGCAGAAGTACAAAGATTGGACGGCAAGATAATTGTACCTCTCTCGCAATACGCAACAATTTGCAAGCATGCCCGCGACGATGTAAAAACAACCTTTGCGGCACGCGACAGAGAACTCACGAGACGGAGACACCTGGACAGAGTTCGCGAAAGAAATCCCAGGAACCGCCAAATGATAGTATCCTTATGACTTGCTTTACTAACATCAATTAATTTTAGTTATCAATTAACCGATTCTATGCGTTTCGTAACAATGGCAAAAAAATTAATTAAATCACAATCAAGATCAATATAGATATTGGTAAAATCACTTCAAAGCGATATCATTAATTTGTCGTCTCAAGTATCTCGTCGTCTTTCGTTATAAACCTTTAATAAAAAAAAATATATCAGTCGCAAGCCGAATCGGAGCTGACGAAAGCGTCCATTGAGGTGTCCCGTGTAGTGAAAGGACTGGAGGATCAGATCGACTCGTTCGAACGACGAAAGCTGCACGATTTGAAGTCCATACTTTTAGATTTCGTCACCATCGAATTGAGCTTTCATACAAAGGCACTTGAGCTTTTGACCAAGGCATATCAAGATGTTGCAGCTATTGACGAAATTAAAGATATTGAGGTGAGAAGAGACCTAATTGCAATTTTCATTCACGTCGTGCCTTTGTGTTAAAAGGATTCTAAAGTCATTGTTTTTTACCGACACATTCGAATATAGTTTTTACGCTTGTAGACCTTTATTGGCTTCTATGCACGAAATAATACCAGGATAAAGAAATTAAAAATATCACTTTATAATTGCCGCAGTTACTTATGAACCGAGTTTTTCAAGCATGGAAATGTTCTGCTTATGTGGTCCGCAACTTATCCAAGTATTATTTTGTGCATAAAAGCCAATAAAAAGATTTACAAGCGTAAAAACTATACTCGAACGTGCTGGTGAAAAGGGATCCTCTTAAGGTGGTTCTTGCAGGACTTTGAAGTCACAAAAGCAACTATTATTACTAATGACAAATATGAATGATTTAGTATGTAAAAATCAGCGTACATTTAAATTAATTATTCCGTAAGGTTTTTTCTCATTGAACCGTCGGTATAAACTGAAAATATCAGAACGAAATCACAAATTTGACTAGAGTTGGAACCATACATTTCTTTCCCTATTATCAATATGTAAAATTGCCAAAGTTTGCGGACATATATCTCCGGAACCAAGCGGTAAAAAAATCCGAAATTTTTCATACACACTCTAGGAACGTTAATCTTTCATTTGATATCATATTTTTCGAGTTATCTCGGTTTGACCTAAATGCAAGAACCACCTTAAGTGGAAGGATTTTGAAATTTATAAAACACATTTACCTCATGATCGCATCGACGTTTATACAAATTTAGTCAACGTTGTTTATCCTTTGACGTGCAGGACTATCAAAGCACGAGAGGAGAGATGAACGGGGTAAACGTTGCTTCACATTGATATTTATTATTTACTGAGACGACATTTCGATATTAGCTTTATCATTAATATGCCAATATGTTTCTTGATCACTGTTTTAATTAAAGCATTATCCTGATATCCAGGAATTTCGAGAGACGATGCGAGTTTCCGATTCTGTCGCGAGACTAGACACGGTGGGCAGAACTTCATTCCGACAGGCTTACTCGTTAACGAACTTGGCCACTCGATTCGCATCCTCGCCCATGGCGTCGCAGAAATTGGCTAATCGAGGAACGGAATCAGCGGTGAGTGCAAAAGAATGAGACTATCCGTCGCTCCAGAGGTCCATTCTTGAATTTGGAATGTGGCAAATTTTAGGATTCCGTACGAACCGCGTTCACAAATTCTTCCGAGTCGGTTCAAGTTGAAGAATATCCAGACAGTACGGAGGAAACGGAATCGGAGTCGGTTCAAGAGAAACCTGTGAGAGCTAGGCAAAAATCTATGTAATCCCCATCACCCTTTTAATCTTGCCCTTCTGTCTTTTTAGAAAAGAGGGAGAAAACACGCTGGATACAAAGTAAAGAAGCGCTTCATTCTCAAACCCGTCCCTGCAATTCCCACGTGTCAGAAGTCTTTAATATCGTCTATAATATATCATCTACCTTATAGAATGAATCAGACAAAGTGAACATTCTTACAGAATGCTTATTTGTACTCTGTGTATCAGTTCGAGCGTCCACGTTGATGCGCAAGATTGTTTTGAACGAGATAAGAGAAAAAAAAACTCAGATAAAGATAGCGGGAAGGAATAACGTCATTTCGCATTCCACCGAAGTTGCCTAGTCGTTACGTCCACTTAGTTGCAATTGCCTCGGTTATCTGCAACGAGAATTCCTTGAAATAACGTCAGAATATATTTCTAAAAAAGTGTAAGTTTATTTTCTGCATTGTAACAAAAGGATGAATGTCGTCTCACTATTGGTATACATTTCTTCTTTTCCTGTGACAATAAGTGTGGCTATATTTTAGATAAGTCATTACAGATAGATCAGCGCACTGCGAAAAGGACGAGCTCACTTATCACCACCTTCGACTCCCGCTTGCGTCATTAGGTCCGCGATATTCTTTTCCAGGTCGTCTATTCTGTTGCCCATTTCATCTAGTATTTCTTATTAAGGATCTTGCAAGAATTACAACTTTGTAGCAATAATATTGATGTCACAAATAGAGGAAAGTCCTCTATTCCGAGACTCCTAATAGGAGATAGCGGGGCTGCTGTTAAATTAATAGGAATCGTCTGTTGATTCCATCGTGAATTTATTGCTCTTGGAGAGTAAATTGTTTAGTAGAACATTTGGGTGTTAGAAACCTGCTACCTCACATTAGAAACCTACCTCATGATACAGGGCTCTCCTCTATACATTAACTTGTGTAACGTGCAATTAAATAAAGCATAACATGCGTACACAGCTAGCGTGTATATTTAATCCGTTGACACTGCTCGTTTGAATACAAAAGTGTATACTAATGAAACGCTAGAACCTCTGAATTATTGAAACCAATAGAAGCATACGTTTCACACGAAGCTAAATGGTGGGCAAAAAGCAGCTGCTGGTCTTCGTTCATTTACCACCTGCGTGCAGAGGAAAGAAACGAGCTACTCGGCAATGATGCAACGGAAAAAAATCGACACACCAATACAGGCAGTTACACTAGAGGTCCCCAATTGTCTTTCGTCACGAGAGTCGTGTTAAAACTTTTACAGCGAGAGCTGGACAAGTTTCATTTTTAACGCTTGATCTACCATGTGTTCTTTGCAACTGCAGAAACATCCTATTTCGCGGCCAATAAATATATTTAAAACATTGGTACAAGTTGATCAATCGTACATTGATGACAAGTTTTTCAAGCGTACCGATTTGCTTATAAAACAAATAGAATATTTCTAATCACAAGGGACGCATTGCAGATCAGGCTTAAAAATCGTGTAAAAAAACAGAACGTGTCAAAATTCTTGTATGAAATTTCTTGACGGGCCGGACAGGCCTTCATTTCAGGGGTTGAGGATCCAGTCCGCTGATCGGTTGGGGACTTCTAGATCACACGACACTCCAGGGCAAAAGCGTATTAGCACAGATTTCTCTGCGCGCACGCACGCACACATACACAGCCGCATTTTTAGGTTATGCGCGAAAGAAAAGGATATTTCTTCCTATGATCTGGTCGGACATGGTCTGAAACTTGTCCTGCATGTTCTGCAGCAGCGTTTGCACCTGTAAAGGAGTCAGCGTAGCGTCAGACTCGCGACGGACCGCCGTCCCCGGATGAGACTCAATCTCTCAAGCTATCGCGCGTAGATACGCGGACTCACGTATTGCGTCAGCTCCTGCATGTTCTTCGGGTCGGCGCTATTGTCCATCCCGTAGCTGTCGACGTCCTCGCCCTTGTGATCCTGCTTGATGTCGGCCATCCTCGACGCTTCGACCGCAGCAGGGTGGAGAGGAACGAGAGTCAAGGCTCGGCCCGTCCGCTCCACCGCAATGGATCCTCCCGACGCGACGTGACGCGACGTCGCCGCGCCGCACCTGCCCGTCGCGTGCTCACGCTCTCGCGGTGACGATCGGTGCCGAGCACCGTCGATCGATCCAACAATCGCCGGTTCCCCCGACGTTGACGAGAGATTGAAGTCTCAAACGCGCACACGTGCCTCCCTTTTGTCCCGACTTTTTCGACCGGGAAAACTCTACTCGTCGCCAAAGTGCGCGGTGATTCTAAATTCTATAAACGCACGCTAAAGTCAATAAAAAGTGAAAATGACTCTACTTCGACGCAAAATTATTATATTTGGAATTAATTGCGTATATTTAAGTAGTTTAATAGTATATTTAATAGTATATATATTCAAGTAGTACTTGATAATAACGTGATGTATATGAAAAAGCGGAAGTAAAATTTTGTACGTACAATAGTGGCGAGCGTGGTACAGAGAAATTTGCGCTGCTTAGTAAATAAATGATCCGAGTTCGAAACCAGCCAGAACGCGCTGGTTTTTTCGGGCGCCGTTTTTCGAAAGAGAAGTGGCAACCACCGATAGTATCTCGCCACACATACAGAGTGAGTCACAACATTTGTGCCAGAGCTCCGTGAGAAGGTAGAACGGATCGAGATGAACAGAAAAGTTCTGAACCATTTGCAATTTTCGCAATAGTTAACGAGTAATTAATTATCGAATATCATTGTCTTTGTCAGATGATAGAGACAATGATATTTGATAATTAATTACTCGTTAACTATTGCGAAAATTGCAAATGGTTCAGAACTTTTTTGTTCATCTCGATCCGTTCTACCTTCTCACGAGCTCTGGCACAAATGTTGTGACTCACCCTGTATACCCCTTTAGCGGCTAACGAGAGGGGATTGCCGGTATATAGGCATACAAGTACACAAGAAAATGTATATTTATATAATTTATTTGCACGAGTATACACATTTACACAAGTACGCATATGTACGATATAAATAAATAGAAGGTATGGCCACCAGAACTGGTTCCGATGCTCTACTGGCCATGGTTCTCAATTGCCCGTAGACTTTGGAGGGTGAGCTGCCTAAAATTAAATTGTATATTTCCAATTGTATAATTCTGATAAGAACCCGCGAGTATAAATATCTTGGTGCCGTCCAGCACGGTTTTTGTTCCGGTCACCTTGTTTGCAATGACCTTCCGCCTTTGCCTCCACGAACTCCAAGACTCCACGAACAAGTCGCCCAGGCGCGGCAGTGCCAAGGCGTCCTCTTATATAGATGAACGCCTTTATAAAATCTGCTGCTCTTTGGAGATGTCCGGGGTCTCCGGACATTCTATCTTTCGATTCTATCTTTCGATAGAAGCGTTTGAGTTTCCAATTACCGTGGCAATTATCATGCTGAGATGTAAACATGTTTCCTTGAAATTTTTCACTGTCGTTGTGATTTATGGGTAGAGTTCCGAATAGGTGAACTCTCCGATTCTTTCGAAACTGCACTTTTTTTTGTATTTTTGCACGCTGATTACGAATATGACAATGAAAATTTGCGACTAGGTCATTTTCAAAGTCAAAACTCAAAAAAACTTCAAAAATTTTAATTTTTTAGACATTATTTCGATAAATATTGATGTAACAAAAATTGTTTCAAATATAAGTTGCAGTTCTTCTAAAAATACATTATTTATGTTCTATACATTTTTCGCGTGAAACTAATAGTTTCGATGTTACAGACTAAAAACGTCTATGGTTCCGAATACATATCTCGCGTCGCCTATTGCCTTGCGCAATTCTCGCGTTACGCTCTCACGCCAAACCCAGTGAGTAATGACTCGATCGATCTCTAAACAATGTCGAATCGACATCAATCAATGAGTCATTTTTCTCAGTGGGAATGAAGCGTATACTCGAGCTCATAGAGAGAATAAGGCTGATGGCAGAGAACAAATAACGAAACTTTGTGTTTACACACTCTCTCTCTCTCTCTCTCTCTCTCTCTCTCTCTCTCTCTCTTTCTCAATCGGAAATTTAAATTGTCAACCCGCGTGACAACATACAAGCAAGGCTTATTTCCTGCCGCTACATTGGTGAACTAGTGCGATAAATTAGAGTGAGACGAGTGTATTTCTCTCATTCCAGCCTACTGCACCAGTTGGCCGGCGCAGGAACGGAAAACAAACCTATTATTCGCGTATGTAAATATACAAGAAGACGCAATAGGATGGTTTGATAACGCGGCCGCGGTTGCGAAAGCGTGCCAGTGGAGCGACAACGTGCCGCGTCCGCCGCTCCGATTGGTCGGCTGCCGATCGCGAGTGTCTCCCCACTTCCGGCGCATGTGCGCAAGGCGACGTCAGCTGATTAGTGCCGACTGATGACAAACAACGCGGCGGGCCGAGAGCGCTTGCCCAGTTGGCTCGCCGCAGCTCGTCGGATTCGGAGAGGAAGAGGACGACGCGAGAGGGAGATCGAATTTGGTGGCCGAGGTGTTTGACTCCCTAAGGTACACGTGCTTCTAATTCTCGCCCACCGCTTCAGAGTCCATCGCAGCCCGCGACAAACAATGCGCCTGGTGGCTCTTCTGAGCGTAGCAATCGTTCTCTCGCTCTCCGCGCGATCGGCGGGATCCTGGCACGTGAAAACAAAACAAATATCGCCCGTTATTTTAGGTGAGTCACGTCGAGCGCGTGGTCGCTCGTTGAAAACGAGACCCTGGGTTCTTTCCCGCTGCGCTGCGGGAGTCCGAGATGCCTCGAAAGCGCCACGTATACGCCTTCGTACGATTCTCTTATCGTGGTGTCGTAGAACCCCGGAGATACCGACTTTATCATGAGCGTTGGCCGAGGAGCGCGTCTGCTCACAAAGGAAAATGATATTTCAGTTCCAGGTGATGGGGGCAGCCAGGTCGAGGCAAGGATCAACAAGTCGTCGGTGGTGCACTACATCTGCGAGAAACTATCCAACGATTACTTCAATCTATGGCTGAACATGGAGCTGCTCGTGCCGGTCGTGATAGACTGCTTTGTATGATCCGTTACACCATAGTGTAACCGTAGTATAACTAGCGGGTCCACTCCGTCATTTGTTTCGCTTTGCGTCGATCCCTTCTGCGCGCCCGACGTTGCTCCGGGCAGACCAGTGAGAGAAAAGCTGTGAGTGCATGCCGGAATACCACGTGATCGGGGGACCCCAGAGATCAAACGGAGCCGACAAAGAGAGTGGATCCACCAGTTATACTATGGTCGTGGCGTAGTTCCCTATTTCTGGCCTAACAATTTGAAGGTAAATTTCGAGTCTCGTTGCAGATCGATAATCTTAAATTGAATTACGACAATGTAACGAGAACTACCAGCAATCAACCTGGAGTGGACATAAGGATCCCAGGATGGGGCGATCCGTTTGTGGTCGAGTACATAGATCCCAGTAAAGCCTCGCCAGGCTCGTACTTCAAGGACATCGGGAATACGCTGGTGAACGATTTGGGATACGTCAGGAACTTGTCGCTACGCGGCGCGCCCTACGACTTCAGGAAAGGACCTAGTATGTAAAAGGAGTGTGGGCATTGAATGAATTACTTTGGGAACGGGCGTTGTGGCACGGGCATTTAGCAACGTATATTTTAGTCGATTATACTACAAATTTACCGAGATAAAGACCTTGAATTCCAGGCGAGAGCGAGGAGTTCTTCACCAAGCTGAAAGCCCTGGTCGAGGAAACGTACACAATGAATAATAACACGCCAGTGACGTTGCTGGCTCACAGCATGGGCGGACCTATGACCCTCATAATGTTACAACGTCAGAGTCAGAAGTGGAAGGATAAATATATCAATACCCTCATCACGCTTAGCGCCGTCTGGGCAGGATCTATCAAGGCTATCAAAGTGTTTGCTATTGGTAATGATTGGTAATGATATTCAAGATTGTACCTGCCTTCGAGTATCAATAACGCTGGTCAACATTTTTCGACCTTTTTTTTATGTTGCAAAAGGAATGGCAGGTCATTTCTATATTTTAAACTTGAATTTAACACAGGAGACGACTTGGGCGCGTATTTTCTTCGTGAAAGCGTACTAAGAGACGAACAGATAACGAGTCCAAGCCTGGGATGGCTGTTACCCTCGAAACTATTTTGGAAAGACACCGAGATCTTGGTGCAATCGGATCAGAAAAATTACACGTTGAACAATTTACAACAATATTTTATGTACGGCAGATTATTTGGATGGCTATTATTATACCTGCTGTATTTTGCAAATGGTTTCAGAAATATTTTTGTTTTACAGCGACATAGACGTTCCCAATGCTTGGGAATTCAGGAAGGACAACGAGAAGTACCAGTCGGATTTTACAGCGCCAGGTGTTGAAGTACATTGTTTATACGGCAGCAAAGTGAACACTGTAGAAAAGTTTGTATACGTTATCTTGTTATATAAAGAGTTGCTATTTTTAAATTATTTCACAACGAGAAGCCGCGTTTGTAATTCGCATTTATCTTTGTGCAGATTGTATTATAAGCCCGGTACAACTATAAATGGTTATCCTCAGTTAATATTTGGGGATGGCGACGGGACGGTGAACATAAGGAGCTTGGAAGCGTGCACACATTGGCAGACATCACAGAAACAAAAAATTTATAATCAAGGTTTCCCCGGAGTAGATCACACGAATATCTTGAAGAATTCTGACGTTTTAACATATGTCAAGACAATTTTAAAAGTATAACATGATTTTTATTAGTAAGAAGATGCAAAAGGATATGACAGATTAACGTAATTAAATTCTGTTAATACTTTTGCTTGATAATCTTAACTTTTATATAAATTGATATTCAAAATACAATATTGTTACACTCGCATTGTGACAGTCCCTAGGTTCGAACAGAATCGAATTGCTAATTGGTTGTTTGTGTACGGACGTCTTCGTGATTTTGCGTTGAATTGTACCAGTTCCGTTTTGCAAGATTTGTAATTTCGCTGCTGATAAACGTGCTTGTTCCTTCGAACTGAGAGTTTTCGCTTCTCTACACGAACGGGAGTGTGCGGGCGCGATCATGCATAAGCGAGTGAGTCTCGGGCGCAACAATGTAAAATGATAACAAAATTGAAATGAGGTTTTCTTATCTTAACGAAGTAATTTCGTTTATATTTTCAACAATTTATTAAAAAGTACGACACTGTAATTGAAAATATATTTTTATTAACTACATTACTCATTAAAATATATCGTTACACAACATACCAGCAAATATCAATTGGGAATACTATAAAGTGGTGCAGTTACAAAAAAACATCTTCTAAATGTCGATACTTCCACTTCATTAACTGGCTATGCTTCTCACATTCTATAAATATAATACATCATCTCCTCCTTATGCATATATATTTTTATATTCAGTATACAGGATGTAAACTAATTTTCGCCCACTATTTGTACAGTTATATTCCTCATGAAAAACTGAGTCGGAAAGTTCCAAGCCATTTTTTCGAATCGTGTTTCATAAAGTGGTTCTTAAATATTGGTCAATCAGTATCGCTTTTTAAACAGACGCACGACGGACCACCACTAAGTTGCGCGGCTTGCGAACGTGCGCTCGTTTAAGGCCCGGTTGCACCAACGTCACGTAATTTTAACCGTAGCTTAATTCACTCTTCGTCGCTTTCTAACTGTTTCCCTTAGAAAGAGACAAAGAGTGAAATAAGCTAAAGTTAAATCTAAGCGACGTTGGTGCAACCAGGCCTTAAAGTGATGCTACTTAGCTAATTCTTAATTAATAACAACTACTTTACAAAGCATAATTAGAGACTTTTCGACTTAGTTGTTCATGAGAAATATTACTGTATAAATACTGTATAGTGAGCGCGAATTAGTTTACATCCTGTATATTATCAATTTTCACATTATATGATCTCGTATGAAACAAAGAGTGATCGAGTTAACATGACTAGTGGTATATAGTAATATCTTATATATACATATATATATGAAGTATTTCTATATTGTACAGTAACGTATTTTTTTAGTGGCTGATACAGCACAATTAGAATAACAAATGAAATCAGAATTTCATAGTCTACTAGTCACAAACCCACTGTATTATAAATATATACCAACGTTATATTTGCATTGATTTATAATTGCAATGAACACTTACGATAATATAGAATATTTAAAACTGAAGAAAATGTTTGATGTAGAAAACGTTGTCTTAGGAAATATCACGACAAACGTGTCAAGTTTCTAAGATGTGTATGCAACATTTTTCTTGGTAATATCCGGCTGTAACTTGTACCATTTTTGGCATAAATGAATCCGTAAATGTATGGACTTATAATAAGCATTTATCAGAGTACAATGAAAGTTTCTACAAAATAACATGTACAAAATTGTGAAAAATAAATACGTAAAGTATGTGAGCATTGATACCAATATTCTTTTAATATCTAATGCCATTATTCTTAATGAACTAGATAATACGTAATTAAATATACGATTCTAAGATAAAACGGTGTATAAACTATTAAGAAAACAAATTCATAATTAAAGATGCTAAATGAATACTATTAAAAAATAAAATATTAATCGTAATGATTAACTACTATAATTTATTTTTCAAATCTATTGTAATACGAATAGATAAAATTGTTTCTAATCACAGATTTTAACAACGTAGTTATAATAAATATACATATGCACGAAACTTCTCTATACGTTTTATTAGATATTCCATTTAGGTCCAAACTCTTAGCAATTCTGAATATTTAAAATTGCCGTTTTCCTATAAATTTGCATATATTAATTTGTGATTCTTTTTCAACATATATTAAAAATTCAGGTTAGCCTCCAGAACACAGCATAAAGGCAGCGTAGGAATGCACAAGATTCTGACTCATGTTGTCCTAGAACAGATTTGCTCAAATATCGATAACCAAACCTTTCAATTCTTAGCAACACATACTGCTTGCCCCTTCATTTCTTTGGTACTTGCTTTTATACAATCTTACAACTTTTACATCTTTATTCCAGATTTCAGCGATATATCAAAGAAGTGATTTTGACTGTTTTAGAAAGTACATAAAAATTCTAACTTTTTACAACAAATAATATCTCTTCTAATGTCAGTTAAGCCCTGTCGAGGATCGTATGAAAGCATATATTCCCAAAGCTAAAATAGTCACAACGGTAATGGTCTTATAACTCCTGATGCGATAGGATATTCTCGGCGTTGCCTGAACAATTTTTAACTTTCGTTGTCTTTCTCTCTCCTGACGGCTCGCTTCCGCCTTTGCCTTCCATTCTTGCTCTTTGATTTTTCTTTTATGGTCATAATCCTTGACATCATTAGTAATAGATTCAGGAGGATATTGTCGATATAAATTCTTTGCTTCTACCAAAAGCGTTTCAAACGGCAAGTCGTCAGGTAACTGAAAACGTAAACTCACATTAAACAATTCTATTATCTTCTCTTTTCTTTTTGTCAGATTTTCCTTGGTCGTGTACTCACCGTACATAATACTTTGTGCGTGTGTCCCATGTCAGGTGTGGTATTGAAAATTTCGGTAGCCCTATGTGCAACAATTACGGTGCTTAAATAGAGAGGCATGAGCGGAGGACTACCCAGGAAAAAATCAAACAATCTATGTAACAACTTTCGGTTTTCTGCGTACTTATGCGCATACCACGTTGTGTATTCAGCCAGAGCAAAGTGTGGAAACAGTTCTACACTGAGGGAGAATTCTGCTATTAGTAAGGAGATTATTAGTATCGGCGAACAATAAAATAAGAATGCAATCGAAAGGAAAAAAGAAAGAGAATCTCGGGACAACTCATGTATGGAATATCATTAATTTCATACGCCTAATAGAAATGCGTGTATTTAGAATGAATAATTAAATCTAAAATATCACGATTCAATGCCTGACGACTAACTTTTCCAAGTGTTCGAGAAGCGTAGGGTGCACTCTCTCCAGCAGTGCAAATATATAGAACAGCTCTTGATTCACTTTCTCCATGGTTTTCTCCATAAACCGTTCCAAGAACTGCAGCGAGATCCTCTCGAGCACGTATACGCCTGCTTGGAGCCCCACGACGAGCAACACCGTTGCCGCCACGTCGTTATAGCCCTGGTAGTAACTAAGTACGCATTATGTTAAATATGTGTTACAAACGTATCGTAAACGCGGCGAGCGTTATTCACGCTTGAAAGTACTAACTTTAATTGGGAATGTCTATGAAGTACCCAGCACATAAGCTGAGTTAGCTGCTCCTGGAAACATTCCGTCTCCTGTTCCGTCGCGCTTTGCGAGATGTGACTGCCGCTGCGCGCCACGTCCTTCTGTATTTGCTGGTAAATCTCATTCGGTATATACTTGTGCACAGTTTCCAGTCCGTCGACAGGCGTCGGCTCCGATCGTGACAGTCGCAAGAGTTTTGGCCACAGTACCCTTCGTACATCATCTACAGATCATCCTCATGATTTCAAGAGACTTAGTCACAGGGAACAGGATTATTCTCAAAAAGGAACCAATTTGCCGACACTAGCGAGACGGCTCCGAGGGCCCGAAAAAGATCACGTCGACGACGTCGACGTGGGGGGGGGGAGCCAGAAAACTATGAATTTCTTTCTCTCTCTCTCTCTCTCTCTCTCTCTCTCTCTCTCTTTCTCGACGAGAGGTCTCAAAGGACGAAGTTACCGCGAGGTTCCTTGTTGATCATAATGTACCGTCGCCTGGGCAAAGTACCATTAACAAAGCCCTCGCTGCTGCAGCCGAGCAGTCTTAGCTCTCCTAACGTGAGATCCGGATTGGCGATGCTGCCGCGGATGACGCTCAGCTTCATCTTCTCGCGGGCGCTCGCGGGGGCGTCCGTCGCCCCGCCGCGGTCGTCCTCGCGTGCCAGCACGCCGTTCCGCTGTCGCTTGCCCGCCGCGGCGTCCACGTCGGCGCCGACGTGGTCCGGTATCCGCGGCGCGACGCCGTCGTACCACGCTTTCGTGAGGTCGGGCAGTGCCACGAGGGGCACGCGATCGCTCGTCGCGTCCGCGCCGAGGCTCGCCGACTGCTCGGGCACGTTCCTCCTGCGTACCCTGTTGTGGTTATGATTCTCGGTCGGCGTCGACGGGCCAGTCGCGGGCACCTCCTCGTTCTCGGCTTCCATTGCTTCGCGAGATCGAGACGGGGTATATTATCTTTTACGCCAGACGCACCGGCGCGCGTGTCATAACACTTAATAATTTAGTCGGAACCCGTGCGAACTCGTCGCGCTAACGCACCGCCGTTGGACCCGTCAGGAATGACAGCAAAATCGAGCAAATAGGCGCACAGGATTCGTTCCCGACTGCACTAGTTCAGTTCAGAGTCCATCTCTCTCCCTCCACGCCGCTTCTCCGCGGACGGAGAAGGATCGACTCTGAACTAGTGTCACACTCTGGTGCAACCAGAAAGAAACCTGAGAGCGGCCTATCTGAAACACGGATTGGATTCGCAAATCTCGAAAACTGACAAAGTATCAGGAGAACATGATCAGCAAAGAGGTGGCACTATCAAAAATTCCAAGAATTGGATTTCCGAGAATTTCCAAATTCAAATCACGAAAATCGAGAATCGAGAAAACTAGCAAAGTATCAGGAGAACATGATCAGCAAAGAGGTGGCACTATCTAAAATTCCAAGAATTGGATTTCCGAGAATTTCATTCTTCAAAACGCCAAAATCGAAAATCGCAAAACTGGCAAAGTATCAGGAGAACATGATCAGCAAAGAGGTGGCACTATCTAAAATTCCAAGAATTGGATTTCCGAGAATTTCCAACTTTAAATCGCGAAAATCGAAAATCGAGAAAACTGGCAAAGTATTAGGAGATGATCAGCAAAGAGGTGGCACTATCTAAAATTGCAAGAATTAAATTTCCGAGAATTTCAAACTTTAAATTCTTTATTAGGCCTGTTACACAATACGTCGTATGTCGCTGTCGGATGTCGCGACGTGGTCGATGGTCCAATAAGAAAATTCCTAGGAATTTTCTTATTGGACCATCGACCACGTCCCGACATCCGACAGCGACATACGACGTATTGTGTAACAGGTCTTAGAGTCGGTAAATTAGTTTTCTAACGTACCTACGGCCGAGCAAGGTTGGACGTATAAGTTTTCCGGTGGCAGAGCCCGCCACGCAATCGATACTGGCGAGGAGTGACGGCTGATGACGGGGGACACGTCACCACGGGTCTCTCCACACCGACGCTTTCTACGCATGCGCGCACTGCGCACGCATTTGTTTCTTTTCCAAACGCCTACGTCAGTCGAGTAAGTTGGAGCGAGTGTTCGATCCTCGTGGCTGAGAGAAACCTGGTCGTCTAGCCTCGTTGCTGTTGTCAAAAGAATGTCAGGGAAGTCTAAGGCGTTCACTAAGGAGGAGGAGCTGCTGCTGCAGGACTTCTCCAGGAACGTATCGACGAAATCGTCGGCGTTGTTCTACGGCAATGCCTTCATCGTTTCGGCAATACCAATCTGTGAGTTATACTGTCATATTCAGCATACTTTTATACATTGTGCTCGGTAAGCACAGTGTTAGCAGTATGCTACTAGGTCGGCAGCAAATTTGACGAGAATCCCATGGCGAAACTATAACCATATGTATCCGCATCAACCCATACAGCACTCGTGTCTGAAAGACATCTTTAAGACCCCTTGCAGTCATCTTTTAGATATGTATGTCTAAAAGACGACTTCGAGACGTCTTAAAGATGCCTTTTAGACACGCGTGCTGTATGAGAAGCTTGCGTTCCATCGACAGAGCCTGGTAACACAACGGCAGAACAGATTGGTGGCAGAAACCAAACTGCAGGATCTACTTGCCTTCTGCCGCCAATCGGTGGCTCAGTCATGAATCCTTTTCTCCAGCGTGAACTTGTGAAAAGTGAACAAGTTCATTGATAAATGTTAAACTCGTCGGTAAAGTTTTCTCACTTCTCACGAGTTCACGCCAGAGAGGAAGATTCACGATCGAGCCCCGGTTCGAAGGTTTTGCTTGGCTGCTACTGTCAATCTGCTAGCACGCTGACAGGCTTTGTTAGATCTGCGGTAACAGTTCGACAACTTCGTCAGGTAGAACAGAGTCTGTGTCTGTTCTCTTGTTGCCTTCCTGCCGATTCTGCTGTCAACTTTATAGCAGACTCTGATCAGGATCTACATTTGTGACGTTCGAATGACTTGACGAACGCAGGAATCAAAATATATGAAAATGCATGAGGTGTGTTCGCACAACTGCTATTAGCTCTGAAAGTATCCCCGTTGCTCATTACATGTTGAAGACGGAAGACGCTTTTCGTGGCTAATAGCGCGCTCCGCGAACGCACCTGTGGTCTGTGTAGAGATCTCGTTTTTGTATGTACAGAGGAAAGTCGCTTATTATGATAGAAGCTCCTAATATGAGGCAGTAGGGTCTCAAAACATATAATTTAACAATCCAGCGCATCCATTTATTCACATCCGATATTTATTGCAAAGTCAATTGTATGAAATTCCCTCACTGTTTTTTTTTCACTAACTAATATCGTGTTCTTTGCAGGGTTGTTTTGGAGAATACACTTGATCGATCTATACTCCAATCTGATCTCTTTCGTACTGGTTACATTGGCAAGCACATACGCCCTTGCCTTGGCGTACAAAAATACAAAATTTATCCTCAAACACAAGGTACGTTGTACTTGTAACTAGGATAATTTCCACCTTGTCAAGAAGATTCAACATTGTAATGTAGAAGGTATTGTAAGATGAAAAGATTTTAAGTAAATTTGAATATAGCCCTCTTGATAAAAAGTTGGGGGCCTCTAATCTAGTATATCAATATTTTTCTGCTAAATCATGACAGAGGTATTCATAAAAATTAATTAATCACTTTTTTGTACAATTCGCAAGATAATAAAGGAATTAATTTCTTTATTTTTATTCCAAACTTGTCGAAATTTTGCTGGATATCATCGCGATGAACGTACTTCATTAAATTTTTTTGTCTACACGTATGTTACAGATTGCCGTAAAGAGGGAAGATGCAGTAACTAAGGAAATAAGCCGCAAACTTGCAGAAGATAAGAAAATGAGCAAGAAAGAAAAGGACGAAAGGTAATACTCGATTACACATTGAATGTACTTGTCTTTTAAGTAATCGTATCGACGCTATTGATTATAAAAGTATGTACTGTACCTTCTGCGAAATATTAATTTGCTCTGTTATTGAATTTCTAGGATTTTGTGGAAGAAGAATGAAGTGGCTGATTATGAAGCGACAACATTCTCAATTTTCTACAATAACGCCCTTTTCCTAGCATTTGTCATCGTATCTTCGTTTTACGTTCTAAAAACATTCACGCCTGCAGTGAACTATATACTCTCCGTAGGCGCTACCAGTGCATTCCTAGCATTGTTCTCAACGGGATCTCAATAATATATGCTATGAACCCATGTATGCTGTTAACTAATTTCATAAGACCTCCATCTGTTTGATTTATCTTTTGATATGAAACGATATCGTAGGTAATAAACGCATGTCTATTTATAATAAAGTTATTTGCTACGAATTATTTGCTATCCCCAGATAAGTTTGCTAAACATTTATGAACTGTAAACGATTTAAAAATTACTTCGTTAAGTAGTGACTTAACGAAATAAATATGTATAGTGATACATATTTATAGAGTACATTATAAATTATGCTTATAGGTTGATGAATCATTAATCACTAACGGTAATTAACAATCGCTATATAAACCATGACCATTGCTATTATGCAGTTGCATTAGTAAAAAAAACTAAGTGTTGCACCTGCATGTTTCTCTTTTTAGGAAAAAGGAAAGAATTTAGATTATTCAAACGTTTCTGCGCGCAAATTTTAGACAACTTGATTGGTCAACTTCTTGTTTAAAAATTATTATATAATACATTATATACATATGTATAATATATTGTATACTTATATGTGTATATACATTGTATAATAGCACAAATCTATATGTATCTAAATCTATAATTGTGCTATTATATTAAACTTTGTATAATATAATCGAAGCACGTCGGTGAAAAGTTTTAATTTTATTTTATTATGTAATTTATATGTGCGTACTCTATGCAATCAAGCTAAAAACTTGGATAGAACCAGAAATATTTATTGAATTATAACAATTATTAATAGACACATTTTTATGTTTATACCCATATAAGTATGTACCATCAGAGACGAGCAAAAAATGCCTGGATTTCTATACATGCTTCGATTCTTGTATATCGAAGTGTCTAGTCATTCCTACCTCTTTACATTTATAGATTCACTATTTTTCTTATGCAAATATTTCTTTCATTTACTTGTTTAGAATAGTATTTATGAGAATCAATCTTAAAGGCCTTGGACTTTATGAATAGCTAACAATAAGATATACAGATACTAATTGAAGACATTGCTGCAAGAACGAGGTAAGTCCACTTTTTGGCGAAAATGATGTTTTAACACCATTATATGCAACGTTCCAAGCCCGATCGATTGGTGTAAAAACGACGTACGTAAATGCATTGTTAGTTAAAGAAACTGAGATTTTTGGACTTGCCCCTCTAAGCAGATTGGTGCAAGAACGAGGCAAGTGCGGAAAAAAATTAGTTAATTTAATTTAATAGTTTAATAGTTTATTATTTATTTTTACTAATTTATCAATATAACTATCTAAAAGGTACTACTTTCAAATATTTTTGGCTAGTTTATGTTCTGTTGCTAGGCATTTTTTCCATTTTTGGTGCTAGAACGAGGCAAGTCCAAATTAAAAGTGTTAAAATATGCTAACACGGGATGATTTTTACTTACGAGAAAGGCTAACGCGCGGTCGGCACGTGGAGGCAGTGAGTGGTACTAGTACTATATGTATATGGTACTAGTACTATATATACCTATTCTGAAAATATATGACAATATACGAAAAATAATATACTACTAAAAATGTTACAGGGATGATCCCAGTATGTTAAATACAGTACGTTTATTCACAGTATGAGTATAGAATATTCAAGTGATATCATGTGCTGTGTGCGTATAGCGTGATCGGTATATAGACGGTCTTGAAAAGTCAGTATTGCCAGAGCTGTCGGACAGTTCGGAGTGAGACTTGGCTCACTCACTTGGCTCACCGTTCAGAACGTAACTCGAACAGACGGAAATTATTTGTTCGGATAACTGAGAAGTACAAAAAATAAGGTGAGTAGCAAACTAGACTAGATACTTGAAGTTGTCGAGCGACATTGCGATGTAAATTATTTGTAAAAACTTGAATTAAAAATATATAAGAAAAAAATAACAAGTAAAAGATCTTCTACTGCCATATTGCTTTTTTTATGTGATGCTTTATTATACTTTATTTCTTTAATAATAAACATTATGAATACAGGAAAACAAACTAATAGACAATATATAGTAACACGCCAATGTGGGTCACAAGGCAAGATGTAGGTAGCCCAACTTGTAAATCTTAAATCTTTCTGAAAATCGTGAATCTATACACCGTTTCTTTCCACATTAGTACTACGCGCCGATTTCTTTTTCGGACATAACGCAGTTTATCATACACGTGGAATTATTGTCGTCAGCAGATTCACGTATTCGATTCGATGATTATTTTTCAAATGCAATTCGCATTTTTCTGATGCTATATTTAGAATTCAATACCCTCCCTCCCCCATTTTCCCCGTCCCGTAAATTAATTTTATTGATCTAATAGAGTTTTCGATATAGAATATTTTTTACAGTTGTTCGAAACGCTCGTAATTCTACTGTACTATTTGAGTTAAACGCATTTTTTACTTTACCTTGTACAAATGATAAGAATAATTATTAATATTTTCTTCAAAATATATGTTTTTTCATAAGTATGGATTCATAAAAATAATTTTATATCTAACACAATTTTAAATTCTCAATCCTTGAAACAAGACTACATATATTAGTGTTGTAATTATTTATAAATCAAATCTGTCATTCTATTGCGTATACTTGTATGGGGCATGGTGAAATAAACAAGAAAAATACGTTTATTTTATGGCGCGTTAATTTTTAGAGAGTGGAATTAGAAAAACATGATAAAATATTGATGCGTATTTATATAAAAAAAATATATTTGATAATTTGTTCATAAATGATCTACGCAAATGATATCTATTTGTGACGAAACCTGATTTACGATGTGACTACGATTGGATATTTATGACCTCAATCCTTCAATTGCATTACATTTTCCGACATGTACTAGATATAGGCGAGAGTTTTATATTATTTTGTAACGGTTATCGATAAGTAATCGGGTTTCAGTGCAATCTGTTCAACTTTCTTACAGAGATTGTATAAATTTTCCGCTTGACAGTCAATTAATATATCTGCTCTCTAAAAGTCAATCAGTGCATTATTTTTTAATAATTCAGTGCTTTACTTATTACTATAAATCGGTAAATAATCATTATTTTCAATATTGATTTTTAGAGTGGTACACTTGTCATGCGGTAAACGAAACTCGATAACTGGTATTAGGAAAAATCGGTAAAAACCAATTCTAAATTTTAATAATTATTTCTCAATTAACGAATATCATAATATTAGTATGTTATTATTCTGTTAGTTTTTTCTTTAGTTTAACATGCAGTCCATATCGTTTAATATGCAATTCATATTTTTTTCTTGTCCAATTTCTATGTAATTAGCAGCATTATCAGTATATAATTTTTTATTGTTAAAGTGAAATTGTTAAATATTAAACATGGAATTTTCTGCATTAATGAAGCTTCTAGCTTCTTGATATCTTTATGTCAATAATATTTTCGCCAATTTGTGTATATTTTCATATTATGTGCGTCAGCACACATGACATTTGTATCTTCAACTTCTAATGATAAAGTATGAAGTTTCTTTTATAGTTTTGATTTGATAAGATATATATATATTTTTTTTATAGTTTTGATATGATAAGATATATATATATATATATATCTTATCATATTGATAATTATAACGAAAATATAAAAACCTGTTGAACCAGTCTACTTTTCACCTACAAATAACTAATTTAGAATCAATCTAGTTAAAATAGGTTTCATTGACTGTCTGATTTTCATGTAACATAAATACCACAAGTTGCATTTTACTATTGAAAAATTTGAGTGCAAAAGATGATTGTATTTTAATACCCTGGTTGAGGTAATATTTTTCGTAATAAATTTAAAATAAGAATTATTTAGACACTAACATCCTGTCACGGTTCTTTAGTCTTTATTCCTTCGAATTTGTGCGAATTTTAATATTTACAAAAAGACTAGTCGAAAAATGGATATTAAAACGAAGACATACAAAATGATGTAACTTTTCTGATAATTTTCTACCTTTTTATAGTCTCTTGATACGTTTCTACATACTTGCATCCTTTTCGAGGAAACGTCATACCTTTGCATTAATGTTTTACAACATGCTATAACCATTGCTATCCCAGATTGCAACATACATCAATTAACTTAAAGCTTTTAGTTCCATTGTCCGCTTTCGATCGATATAACTAGATGACAGTATAAATTGCCATTAGCATTTTGGACTTATATATCGCATTGACATTTTTAATGCCGCTAATACCTCAATCTTAATATTCAAAGTGTAATTAAACAACTCAAGAATATTTTGAATATTAGAAAACTTAAAGTTATCCAGATAATAATTATTAAAACATCCAAAATGCTATCCAAATAATAAAATGATCTCCCGAGAAAATATCTAACCCTGAGTATATCTAACTCAGATATATAAGCAGATATGATTAGATATACAAACAAAAAGGTCGGGACACTCGATTATTTCGAAAACGTGACGTTTTACAAAACAACGTTTCATACAAAAGTTGAAGGGTTTCAAAGGATCTATTTATTGACATCATGAATTTGACCTTGGAATAACCTTGAAAAGCCCAGTTAAGGTCAACATGAAAATCTTAAATGGAAACCCCAATATTTTATTGCATATTCTTGTAGGTGATCTCGAGAGCTTTCTAAAGCAATTTAATTAAATTGCACCTGCCGGGCGTTAGCTTAAAGGCTGGTTTATGCAAGGCCGTAACTGTTAACTTATGCCGGAATCGGTAAAAATTGTCCAATCACCGTTAAAAGTGAAGAGAATAATTGACTGTAATGGGTCCATTTGTACCGATTCCGGCAAAAGTTAACGATTACGACTTTGCATAAATCAGCCTTTAATTAAGATACATCACTGATTATGTTTCCATCGAGGGTCAAAGTTGGGCTGGAGTTGAGTCAGAATCGGGTTGGCGTGAGCGCTACAGGAACCTAACTCGACTCTTGTCGTTTCCACCGAACCTCATTTGGACCCTACCTTAAAATTTTGTATTATTTTATAAGATAGGGTTCAGGTTCGAGTTTGATATTTTCACCGCAAAAGCACTCACCCCAACTCAATTCTGACTCGACTCTAGCTCGTGACTCTCTATTGTAAACTGTGACTAAGGTTTGTTTTCTATTCCTGCACTGGTGAACTAGTGCAGTAAGCTAGAATGAGAAAAAAATATGCTTGTCTTACTCTAATTTATTGCACTAGTTCACCAGCCTAGGAACACAAAACAAGCCTAATGATGCAGAGTTTTAGATCAGGTGATTTAAGGCTAAATTCTGATTGACTCTCGTAAGCAATCCAGTAGGAAAAATAGTATCGTGTGCCGTTGGCTTTACTCTAATTTGTTGCACTAGTTCACCAGTGTAGGAACAGAAAACAAGCCTATAGTCACTCATTGTCAGTGCAAGATCGATCGGTGATCCAGCCAGTCAAGATTATAAGATCGGTCAGTGATCCAGCCAGTTAAAGTAAGATCAGCCGGTGATTCAGCCAGTCAAGGTAATGTACATACAACCACAACTTTTTAATAAAACATTTTTTTGTAAAACGTCACGTTTCCGAAATAATCGCATGTCCCGACCCATTTGTTACATTCTGTATACATTTTTCCCGGAATGTTACATCGCAAGATAAAACGTTTTTATTTTATTCATTGGCTGCGTCCAGCAGAAGAAGCTGCTTTGCAACTGTTGTAAACGTCCTGAAACTGATTGACTTATGCTTATTAAATACAGTCAAGATTAAGAGAATATGCCAATCAGATTTATGAATTTTACAACAGTTGCAAAGCAGCTTTTTCTACAGAACGTAGCCATTCATTCATTGTTATTTATTATTTATGATAAATTTAAGGTCCCATACAGCACCGAAGCTTTCAGAAACATTTCAGAAACATTGCAACATTGCAACATTGCAATAATGTCTTCTGAAATGTTTCTGAAAGCTTTGGTACTGTATGGGGTCGCTCCAGCACAAAGGAGCGGTTAGTATGGATGCTTTGGTGGGGCTCCTTTGATTTTTATAAATTCATATGACTTTTTTCATTAAAAAATATCACTTAATGCATTATTGATCAAATGCATTGATATGCTACGTTATATATGCACATTTAAAAACATATGTAAAAATATGTGATATTGTCAAGTCTCAAAGAGCTGTCAAGTTTCCACGAAACATTATCTTTCGACTTTACTAATAAGTATTTGCTCGCAGAGGTCGATGACCTCATATACTTAATAGAACATTTTAATCCTTGTGACATTTAATTATATTATAGAAAAATTAGATCTTAACACACACATAAAACGAGATGAACATACATACGTTCATCTCGTTTTTCGTTAAGATCTCCTTTTTCTATAAAATAATACCAATCCTCAAAGTGCTTCTGCGAGCGATCGGCCCACAACCCCATATCCCAGTGAACACCATTTGTAGTCACTCTAGAGGTGCGCACGAGACAAAACAAGACGAGATTTCTGCAATCTCGATCTTGATCTCGAATTTTCGAGAATCTCGTATATATAATCTCGATCTTGATCTCGATCTCGACGAGATCTTGACGAGATTGGCGATACAAAAAATTGTGATTATAAATGTATGTATCTGTTACAATTTTAGCAGAAAAGTAGGTGTACTGTATATTATATACACTTGGTGTTCCTACCTTAACCTTTCTTAAAAGACTTTAAAAATATAACGTCTCTGCTGCATATTTTAGACCAAAAAATTATAAAGTTACAAAAGTTATTATTAATTATTTTGCGCATCTTCTAAAGTTATTAATAATTCTACTGGATATGTCTTGTAGCTGTCGTATG